ATGCTTCTTCAAATCTTTTGTTTTCTTCAAAATGAATATTTCTTTTAAGACATAATTCGTCAGAGAAAGAACTGGTCATTACCGGTATGTCTTGTTAATTTCTTTGCGCTTAGTATTTCATACAACATGTAGAATGAAACTTTGTTGAAAGATTTGTAAAGATAAATTGTTCTGACAGCATGTATTCACAATTGATAATACATATCAATTAAACTAGAAAATCTTGTCAGTGCAGCTTCATGAAAGGTCAAAGTATGGAACTCAAAAACTCTGACTTTATAGATTTATGGGATATTATCATAGAGATTGAAATAGTCTGCTTGAAAGAATTCAAAATAAATGAATAAGTCAAAATTATAATAATTCCAATAGTTAATATGCGCGTATTCTACCAATTTATTAGATCGTTATACTGAAAAAGCTTGTTTTTCTACTGTCAGATACATCTTCAATAGATTGTTTCTTTTCGTACATCATCCTTTCTTTCAACAAACTTTGTCATATACTATTGAGTTTCACCTGTACTTAGAATTCAAATGGTTCATACTTTTCTATGTCTGTCCTACTCTGACTCTGCTAGATTAATAATATCACTGCCCTACTGATTGATATCTATGATAAGATCCTTCCGCCGCATTTAAATATCAAAAACCGACAATAGAAATCTTAGATTTATAGAATTCATCGAGAGATTCTAGATAGTTTCAGAATGATCTAAACACTATTACTATTGATGCACCTTTCCAATTGCTAGAAAAACGTAGCCAATGATCTTTGGGTTTCCTCTTCCTATCTTCGGTTGCTAAGACCCATGGGGAGAACCTTAAAAACCTCGATTTAATTTGACATGCAGTATTTTCTTCGAAAATATATATGAATTTCAAAAAGTGTAAATAAAATCTATACATAAATAATGCATCGATATCTATTAAAAACAATAAAATTGAATAATAACCATGTTCAGTAATCAGACAATTTGTGAAATACTATTCGATACTCTTGAACATTATCTATCTGAGTCTGTCGTCTTAAACAACAAATGTATTAATAGAAATCTTCAGATGTGTTTGTCTCGAAGAAAACATTAAACAATGAAGATATTACACTCAACGAACGGTCATGACAAATGATCTGCAATTATATATGAGATGTTGAATTCGTTTATTTAATTATTTATCTATTTATTTTGAATGATATTAAGCAAAAAATTTGTGGAAATAACATAAGTGAATGATTGAATCTGAAAGAATTTCAACAACATCATTTATATTTCAAATTTCATTTTTATTCAGTTGTCTTTATGAGAAGTTTTAAACAAAATATCAAAATTAAAAAAACAAACCCCTGCTTATACTGATTACCGAATATATATCAGATTCTTACATTTTCTTTTTCGTTTTTCCTTTTCACACGTGCATTTTCGTTGATCAATAGAACAGAAATAAAATGTCATAACCATCGTTCTCTTCTTACACAGAAAGCATTTTTTTGATATTTTGATGGCGAGTGCAGCTTCAAAAACACCTTGCGTTACATGTGGCAAAGGAACGGGACTATTTAAATGTGAAGGATGTACACAAACATTTTGTACAAAACATGTTACCGAACATCGACAAACACTACATCATCAACTCGATGAAATTATTATCGAACATGATAGTCTTCAAGAAAAAATCCTTGAAAATAAAGATCAAAATGATCCTTTGATAAATTACATTGATGAATGGGAACAAAAATCGATTATAAAGATTCAACAAATTGCTAAAGAGACTCGTCGAAAAATTGTGGAACTTACAGATATACATAAAAGTAAATTCTTGAAATTTTGATAGTGACATTTTGAACTATTTTTATGTAGGAACCGTACCAAAAGAACTAAATGTTCTTGCTGAACGAATAAAAAAAGCTCGTGAAGAAGATGATTTTTTTGAAACAGATCTTAACAATTGGATATCAACTTTGAACAGACTGAAACATGAACTAATGAATGTTCCATTATCGAACAATATTGAAGAAGATCAATCAGCACCGTTAATATACCAGCTTAAACTGGTTACAGTACCTTCTGAGCTTGATAATAAAAGTATGCTTAAATACAGTCAGGTCGAGCCAAAGATAACAGCTTCTGACGATATCTTTGAATGTTGTCTTGATGGTGCTAAAATTGAAGATAATGGTCGACTTGTCATACGTACTGAAGGAATTCATCCTGTCGAAGTTCGTGGAAAAGTCGGCTATTCATCTGGTATACATCGATTTCGTTTTCAAATCGAAAAAAATCCGTCAGGAATGTGGATTTTCTTCGGAATTATCTCTAAATCAGTACCAATGGCGCACAACTCACCTAACTCTTCCTCTGCATATGGATGGGTAGATTACAATGACTATTTTCTTGATGGTATTCGTCAAAACAATCAAACTGTTGGCAAATTTCAGCATACAATTGAAAAGGATATAATTGCACTTGTAGTCGATTGTACTAATCGAAAGATTTATTATACAAATGAACGAAGCCAGAAAAATCAACAATTAGCTATTGATATTAACAAATGTCCGTTTCCGTGGCAACTTTATATCAGTCTTTTTGGAAGACGTGATCGAGTGCGCTTACTTAATGCTACAACTGATATTTTACTGTCTTCATACTGACGATAAACAACACATATTCATGTTTAATAAATCAAGAGCTTCATTATGTCTATCAGATTGATTGAAAATTATTGAACAATAAAACTTAACGAATATAACTCGCATTAAAACTCAAATATTTGTTGTGATATCTCAAAAAAACTAAATCATGGAAACAACTATTCATGTTTGTATTTGGATTATTTTGTAACAGAATCTTCAACTTTCGATAAAATTTGGTCTCCTAAAATCATGTAATTTTGTATTTACAGATACCTGAAACAGTTCAATTTCGTTGTTCGTATTTGATTGAATTCTCACTGAGTAGCATGGTTTATTAATATTGTCACTAGCATTCACTTATCTCCAATAGCAACATAATTTCAATAATGTCCCATTGAATTATCAATAAATCATACTATAATTTAATTTCTCATAGATGTGTTGTCTTATGTTGATACTACCTTTTTTTTTATATTTATCAACAAATCCATCACTATTTAAATCTGACGAGGTAACATGTCAGTGATAAATCATTTTCGAGCCGAAAATTGGTGGACAACAAGTAATTGACTATGCTGAATTCGAATATCAGGATCTCCGTACTGCTAGACCTTCGAGTACCTGAGGCTCTCAGAAAGTCAGTTTACTACAGCGAAAATACTACTTCGATCTGTCCAAATTCTAGAGCACATCGAATTGTATATTAAAGAAAAAAACAATGTTTCTCTATTTCAAAATGATCGTAGAGCTCGTTATAGCATTCGAAAGTTGTAGCACCTTTTTATAATCTACATAATTGAGACTTTATGTCTGTATATACGGTTATGTTGTCCATTTCATATGATTAATTTTATTACTTTTAGAATAATTGCTGAAGTTTACGTCTTGATTAAAATTCGAACTTCCAAATCTCCCTCGTCTATTAACAATAATAATTACTTTCGTTCATAGGATAGATTTCATTTATAGTCAGTCTTTTGTTGCCTGTTTCTGCTTTATAGTTGATTGTGTTCTCGTCATTCATCAATTACCATCAATTTTTTAAATTCTAGCAACAATGAACTTAGTTAACATCGAGAGCGTAATTATTTATGAAGCAGAAACAGACAAAAAAGTTGACTATACAAAAAGGTCTTACTTATGAACTAAAGTAATTATAATTATTAATAGAAGAGTAAGGTTTGGAAGCCAAAATTTTAAAAAAGATCTGAACTTCAGCAAGTATTCTAAAAATAATAAGATTAACATACACTCTAGAGTTGAATGATCATAAACATTTTTTGAATACTTTCAAAACAATAATAGAGAAGTAATTTCAATGTTCAACATGTTCTAGTCGGCATTGCGTTGTTCTGCTTCTTGAATGCATTATGAGTTTTGAAGATGATCTTAATTCACTTTGAAAACAACATGCTCTCCCAGCTGTAATTTAATTGGCAGATAGTCTAATTTCTGCTTTATTAATCAACGCAAGATCGAGATCGATAACTGTTTTCTTTGAAGAAATATAAGAATTTTTACTGAAAAATATGTCAAGAAATTCTGTGACCTTTATTTTAGCTATGTTTTCTATCCCATAAACTTTGTGAATTCAGATAGGTGTGCATCAGTGCCAATTAACTGGGTCTCAAACCAACTGGACACCAGTTTACCAGCAAAAATGAAAGCTAGGAGCCATAAAACAAGAATCGAAAGATATTACTTTAATTGAGGTATAGCTTTGTCTGATTCTCAGTCAACTTTTTAAGTTGGACGAGTCAATAAAGCTTCGATATCTTTCTCACCTAGGAAATAATAAATCATTTTAAATAACAGATACCTTGAATAACATGCACGTTACTTTTTTCGCTTTGCAATAGAATTTACAACTTGCTTATTTTATCTGACCAAAGTAGAGTATTTTTAATCAGTATTTCTTGTTTTTCTCCAGTTATTGAATCACTCACAAAATTATGTTCTTTTCTTTACTCAATGCTAGAAAAAAAGATGCATGCATCATCACAGACATTTACTGTACATGAAATAAAAAATAACAGTGATGTGTTACGCGCTTTCGTCTACAGCTGCAATACGTTGTCATTTTTAATATTCTATTCCTTTCAGGTGAAAGTATGATGAAGCGAATAAAATGAATAAATAGGATATCTTTCTATATAAGCTACAAAAAGAATAAATACATAAAGTGATATTATTTATTGATCATATTCTATAATCAAAATAAACATGAATCCAACTAAACGTCAATTCAGTTTTACTCCTTCATTCAATGTAAAAACAAAGAAGTTGAAGAGTAAGCTACGTAGTCGTATATTTTAGTAATTTCTCATTGATTTCTAATATCTTCTAGACACATCTTATGAAGAAAAGTAAGTAAAAGTAATTTTAATTGTATTATATTCATTTTCTCAATATCATACAGTTTGTCAATAACCTGTTTTGAGCATTTGTCCAATGATCTTTTCTACGAAATCTTTGATCATCTTGATGTTTATGATATATATAAAGCATTTTCAAAACTTTATATTTGTTTTCACAATCTTCTAAGTTTTTCGTCACTTCCATTGAAGATTAATTTTTCAAAAAAAATCAGAATCAACACTTGAACATTGTTGTCGAAATGTTATCATTCCAAATAAACATCGTTTACTTTCACTTCATTTAAATGGTCATTCAATTATACATAACTTTTTTATTCATTGTAATATTGATTCATCATTTAATCGTCTTGAATCAATTATTCTTAGTGGACTTTCAGACTACAAACTTCCAATGATTCTTTTTTATTTGAATTCTTTATCTCGGGCTCTCTTCATTGACCGTTCAAATTGAAGAGAAACCTTACTTCAATATTAGTGATATATATCGAATAATTTTTCGATTGCCTTCTTTGAGATTTAATAAAAAAGTCATTGTTAGATTATAATGAATTAAATATCTTCATACCAATTTTTATCAATGAAAAATTTAGCACTATTGAACATTTGGTCCTCAATTATTCTTGCAATATTAATGAACTTAGTTCTATACTTTCTCATACACCTCAACTGCGTCACTTAACTTGTCAGCATCTAGTCGAAGCGGATGAAATTGTTAACAACGAAAGCATGTTAATCTTACCTAATTTGACGCATGCTTCTTTTGTTCGTTGTGACGTAGAGTTTGATATATTAGAAAATTTTATCAAAAAAAATTTCTTCTCAACTACAAGTATGGTATTTAAATACATATGAAGAGACGGCTTATC